AAAAAAAGTGGACGTCCTGGCTGTTCACACTAATCACCAAACAATGATTCACATCTGAGGGCGAATCTTTGTTGTGATATTTTTAGCAGCGGTTTGCTGTTTGTTTCTGTCACTCAGGTGACCCTGTGTGTGTGTGTGTGTGTGTGAGCGAAGTAGGAAAACAAAGATGGACCATCGGGGATTTATTAATGGAGGCCGTTTCCCTCCACAATGGTCTGATTCATTTTTGACGTTCCGTGCTGTGAGACGATGAGGTCATTTTATAGATTCTTTGGATGTCAGAGTTGAATGGTGAGAACATGCAGTGGTGCTCTGCCCAGCCTCTCCTGTGAACACACACACACACACACACACGTATAGATACAGGACCACCGCAGGATTCACACGGTCGAGCCTCCTTCACGTTCTAAAAATTTAAGCGCTGGGATAATTTATAGCTCACACAGAGTACGAACAGGGCTTTCTGTATGTGTGTGTGTGTGGTGGGGGGTGTGACAGCGGAGGTCGCTGACCCCTGTGACTTGGCTAAAATCCCCATGGGCCTAGTTCAGCATTGGAATGGACCCCACAGCGCAATGGGAAGATGGCTCCAACATAATGAACACAAAGGCCAATTGTGAGGCTATTCTCTGCAGGGCAGAAAGCAGCGGGCCCCGGGGACAGTAGAAGGTTTTGTTGACTGAAACGGAGAAGGAAGCCTGTTGCTTCAACAAGCCTCTGATAAGATTCATCAGCGGTGACTCAGCGGTGGCGGTTTGTCTCCTGGGGCACCAAGTGTTAGATTTACATCCACTGTATTTATCTGCACTTGTTGACTGAAGTGCTGATAAGTGACTCTCATAGGACAAGTCGGTGTCTCCTATGTGTTATAGTGTCACTTTAAATATTACCAAGAGTCACACAGTATCACATGTCCCGTCAATATTTGTTGTGTGAGCAAAGTGAATCATGCAGGAATTGATTTCTGTTTCTTGTTGGATATACACAAACTACACTGGTATAATAGAAGCTGAGTGGCTACTACATACTGAAAACACTAAAATGATATTGTACCTGTACTGTGCATACACGTAAAACTGCAACAACAAATGCAGGAAAAAGGGTTCTGCATGACGCAAATCTGATTAATTAAGCAATGTCAAACCAACGACATGATGCTGTTTTTGTTCTATCCACCAACGCTCCTGCAAAAGACCCTTTTTGTAATTAAATATTTATTACTAAATGTGCAACAATAAAAAATAAAGTCATTAAAAAAAATCATCATTTGTGGTTTACTTTAGGGCAACACTCTAAAATCTGTACTGGGAGTCACAGCTGACACAAGTTTTTACCTTGTTAACGTGTCCATATGGTGTTTTTTTATTTTATTTACTAGAACACACACTCTGGGCTTAACAAACAGTTAACACCCTGGTTGTGTGCTTCCACCTTAAAACTGTACTGATGACAATCACAAACACACGGATTCAGACTTTTAAGGTTTCATGTGTAACAAACGATCTTGTCAGTTTGCAAGGTGGAGTTTCTGCTTCAAACATTTATGGTTGAATTCCTCCAATATCACAACTTGAAATCATGTGGCGTATTTTTTTTCAACAGTGTTTGAGCTGGTGAGCTGGTGTTCTCGAGTTGCAACGAGCAGCAGCGGGGTGGAGAAAGAAGTTAACAGACCCGCACACACGGTGTAGAGTTACATCTAAACCATTTTAAGGCAACAAAGGGATTATTTTCACACTGAAAAACTTTGTAAACAGATGAGACTTTGGGGATTTAATTAATGAAAGGAGAGACTTATAGCTAAAACCCGACTGATTAGTGCATAACCTCACAAATTACTCCATCTCAAATAATCAATGTTAAAAGCTCAGATTAAAAAAAATAACATCTCTGACATGAATACAATAAAAACTTTGGCAGAAGTCATCACATAGAACGCACTTGCTCTGAGAGAGAAGCCAATGAGAATAAAAGTTTTAAATGATTCCTAAGAGCTCTCTGATTTCTGACAAATTCACTTCAGTGTTTTCAAACTGTAGGAATGAATGTTCACAGCCACAAGTTCTGCATTGTGCAGAAGTTTAAAGCCCTTTAGATGTTTGTATATTTGTCATTACACAATCAGGAAGGCAACTGATTGGTCCTGAATATATTTTACAGCGTGACACCGACCTTGTGTCCGTGGTTCTGGTCTACGGGTTCATGAAGACAACGTTCTTGCATTCAGCACCTAAAACTAAAGAGACACAGTTAATTTAGCAGCATTAAAAGTGGACTTCTTGAATTATTGTCCACCAGAGGAGGCGACTGCCGTGTATTTACATTAATCTGGTCACCAGAGTTTCTTCATCTTCCACAACATCAACCAACAACTCCATGACAGAGGAAACAGAGAGACGAGAACAAAGCCACTGCTGCCAACAAGAAGGCAAACAAATGCTAACACTGCGGCTGCTGCCAGAAAACGCCCATCCCCGCAACTTATTGCCCTTTTCTAAGACTTATTCAAGGTTTTCATCATCTACCGACCGGCCACACCCCCTGCCAAAAGAGCCTCAATGTGTCTGTATGATTAGGTGGGGGATTAAAAAAATGAAGCAACAAGATCGGCCCTTTCTTTTTCCTCAGAAAGACTAGAAATGGAGCTTTGTGCAAGTCCGCTGCTGTGGCACATTTGACAGGTCTGGCCTGACTGCTTTTGTGTCACCAGCATAAAGGGGATTGAGGGAAAACACAAACTGAGCCACTGTGCCGTTGTGGTGCTGGCTATTAGTCAACGTGACGGCCTTTGCAGATGCTAATGGCTTATAGTGTGTCCTGGCCGGCCTCCCTCCTCCCAGAACGTGGCTATCTGATAGCACAAAGGCCTTCTGCTGAAGGTTGACTTTTCCCCCTTTCTTTTCATGGCTGCTACAGAGTCATTAGGCTTTTTTTCGCTGTGTTTTTTAAGAAAACAGGGGAATATAATAGTGGCACAGAAAGCAGCAGTTTGACGTGAGGCCGTTATCTTCATGTGTAAAGCCTCAGGTGATGGTGGTGAGGACGAGGCCCGTCCCCCCACATGCATCCCTCCCCACTGTGCTGCCCTTTGAGCAATGTGGAGATGCGGTAACAACCAGGCTCTTGTGAAAGCAGAGAGGATGCCCAGGAGTGGAGGACCTCTGGACCCTGACTTATTAATCAGTCAGACCCTCAGCTGCCTGCCTGGCTCTCCCTGCCGCCCCGGGCTGCAGCGTGCCTTCAGCCTGCTCTGGGATGAGATAACAACCTGCAGAGTTAAATACTCTGAGGGTTTGCCCAGACCTGGAGCAGAGGCCTCAGCACATCAGCACACAGGTCACTGCATCCAGCAGCTGCAGGATAACAGCAGAGTGTGCAACAAATACGCTAACACACACGTACATAGGTGCCGCTCTGCAAGGCTGAGAGGGAGACGATGCATCGAAGGTGTTTCCTTCATTTTTCATACAATGTAAAGGTTCAAGAAAATTGAATTTTAGTCAGTTCACAGTAACAGTATAGACGAGGCTAAAAGACGACTAAAGATGGAAAAGACTAAAGTCCATTTATTCAAATACTGCACCTAAAACCAGATACTGTCAACTTTTGAGAGAACAAATTTTAAAAAAATTTGAAGTAATGAGCTGATGAAATACAGTTAAATTTACTTTTCTAGATGTCTGTGAAGATTCTCAGTCATCCAGGTCATGGCTATTCTCATAGTTTAATCGTAGCAACTGGACTTGCTTGAGTTTCTTGAAGACGTTTCACTTCTCATCCAAGAGGCTTCATCAGCTCTGACTACTTCTCCTTAAGGACATAAGTATCTGGAACTCCCTACTAGTTAGTCAGAACTGATGAAACCTCTTGGATGAGAGGTGAAACGTCTTCAAGGAACTCAAGCAAGTCCAGTTGCTACGATTAAACTATGAGAATTTTCTTTTCTAGGTTACACTACTACAGGTAAACAGTTACTACAAGCTGCAAGGTGTTTGGTGTTGTACACTGTGTTTAGTGCTGCTTTCATTTAAGTACAAGATCTCAACTCTTCCTCCACCACCGGAGTCCATGGCCGCAGCTCTGCGAAATGTATTAAGACACAACGGTGGATTGAGCTAAATGCCAACATGTTCACAGTCACAGTGTAAAAACAGTTATACTGTTGACTGTGGTCACCATCTTAATCTGACATGTCAGGATGCCAACTTTTCCTAACAAGCAGTGAACACAGAGATGCTACTAGAAGGCAGAGGATCACAAAGCTAATACAAGTCAGAGGAATGCAAAATGATTGTACCAAACATCCTGCAAAACCAAGAAATTTTGCCTAAAAAAACTAAAAAAAAATGTCCTTAACGGTGGTGCTTATTAACCCTCTGAATCTACACCATCTTTTTAAAAACATCACAAAAATGGCAGCATCTATCACAGCTACAAACTGAAAAAACTAAAAGAAGCAGCAAAATCTATTGTTCCTCACACTAATTATGTGTGACACGGTTGAGAAAGTTAACCAAATCTGAGCTTACAGTCGGGATATTTCATCAAAGTCACTTTATTCTAGATGTCTCTTAAAAATTCACTAAAAATAGACCATTTGCATAAGCAGACTGACATGATAAAAAGCCAGTGTCTATTGGAATGAACTGCAGGATTTGTTTACACCGAGCAGATAGGATGCAAAGAAAACAAATCAGAGAATGAGAGCAAAATAAAATGTACCTGACCAATAAAATAAGTGCAGCATGACTCAAAATATATTTACAAAGAAGCAAGTCGTTGGAGGATACATACGGTGAGATATCTTTCTAGATACGTGTACAGTAATCTGAAAAGACCTTGTTTCTTGAGGTTGTCACAAGATAAATAGCTAAATATCTGAGTCTGTGCTGGTATGTAGAGCCAGCCGGACACTGCTAATACTGAGCGAGCAGACAACACACCCAGCTACAAAGCCACTCCCGCTTCTGTTTCCTGCTGACATGTCATGAAAAAGGTCATTTTTTTTATTTATGTCAATTTTATTTTCAATTTTCTTTTAAACACAAATTTAATAAATAAAGCACATCTGATGGGGTACACCATGCAAACATTACTTTCTACAACATAAAACATGTTTTTTGAACCAGCTCACCAATTTTCTGTTACACAAGTGGCTCACTCTGCTTACACGTGCTGTACATGATCCTAACGCCATGACTGCTCATCACCTGTACAGAATGCACGCCATGTTTTATATATATATATATACCCATATACACATATGAATAAATGACTAGGGTCGATGTGGTCTCACTGCCCCCCTTTCAGGCAAATATAGAACAGTTTTTTCAGGCTAGGAAGAATGAGCACGTCTACGTGGACGATGAAATGGTCCAAATAATGAGGATGCAAAGAGAGTGGATGTGAGATAAAGATGAGGACGTGGAAACACGGGGCCCTGAACAGAGACGAGCAGGAGAACGAGTGAGTGGACAAAAACATACAGTTTGAGTTTAAAAACCATCCACCAGCATGTCAGATATTTTTCTTTTCTTTGAGGACAGTGAGAAAATTACTTTGCTAGTTTTTTGTGTGGTTGCGCCAAACAACCATTCGATCACAGACAGAAGAGAGGATGAGTTCTAGTGCACATGGGCCGTGTACATACACAAAGACATGATATCACTGAAAAGGGACGTCAGACCTGGTGCCATCTGGAAACACATGAAGACAACAAACCTAATATGTGTGTAGTTGGACCAACTCATCAGCTTTAACTGGATACTGGACCAGGAGAGATCAGGTCCAAAGGGAAGTGTTTAATAACAAATATGGTGGAGGATTTTTAGAACCAAATGAAAACATACTATTTTTTATTCTGTTTTTGGCAAATGTATTTCGTGAGGCAATATGTAATGATGTGTATAGCAATGGACTATGTTAAAACATTATTACATCATTGGTGTCTTATGTGTTTAAATGATTCTTAAACGGTCTAAATGTATGCGTAATTGCATTTTCAACTTATTAAGAGTCTATTTTTTGGAAAGCTGCATTGTCTGTCAGCTCCAGCATGGATGAAATGTTAATATACAACGATGGAAAAGCACACAGACGGACTTACAGGTACAGGTGAGCAACGTGACCAGGGCCTTATGTGCATTTGGCAGACATAGAAACTTAGTTTTTGTCGTCAAATAAACCCCTTTAGAAGGAAACAATAAAAAATTAAATCTTTACATAATATCGTAAGCACTGAGCGTTTTCTGTTTATCCTGTTACTGAGCGGTTGTTGTGGCGTTACAACACAGTGAGTTGACCGGTGGGGAGCTCAATACTGAACCAGGTAGCTAGCTTTTATTGGTGTACACTAAAGGAACAGTTAATCAGGGGTACATGTAGAGTAAACAGGGATGAGGGACAACCCAAGTGCTTTGGATCCTTGGTGCAACTAAAACAATCTTTTGAAAGTTTGAGACAACTCCTGGCTCTATTAAGCGGAGAACTTGGCATATTTTAGGAGCGCCAGGCGAGAAAAACGGTCTGAAATTCAAGGCGATGTGACCCATCAGGACCGGTGCCTATGATGTACACAGATCAGTGAATACACACACACTTGAATAATGACATGTACACAAAGAAAAGCAGGAAAAAAAAGTCAAAGAAAAATAAGAAAGTAGGAGATAAACATGTACACAACCCTCATTTATTGAGAACAAGTGGTCAGATGTCTGACAACACTGCTTCGTATTTTGCTTCTGATCTGTCGGTGTTTGGGCTCCTGTGCAGAAGTCCTCCTCTGGAAAAAAATTAACATAAATCAAAGAGAAAGCCTGAAAACTGTTCATCCAGCTTATCCTTCTGTTCTGGTCCGTCTCCCCTTCAGTGTCCGAGGGGGGACGGAGAGCCGAGTCATGGGTGGTAAAACCAGGTGCGTGTCGGGGCGGGGACATGGAGCGATGACGGTCATTTACAGATGAGTCGTTTTTGTTCAGTGCATTTCTTTGCTGTGATCCAAACATTTACTCTAAATAACTCTGTTAGGAAGAAGCATGGAGGAAAAACAAACACAGTTATCATTTGTCCTGATTCTGTGACGCAAATAAAGTGTTTACTATTATCTAACGTCTAGTCCAGGCATTGCAATGAATATTCAATGAGTTTTAGTTTGTATGACTATGCTGCACTGCGCATGATCAGTTCCCTAAAGCACCTGGTCCGATATACTACGCAGAGACACATACCTGCTTCTCTTATTTCTCCTTGTGAAGAGCTTCTATGAAGGCTTCCAGTTTCTCCTGGATCTCACGAACTTTCTCTGCAGAGAAGCAAACAAGTGGGTTAGTTGGTCAAAAACAAAACTCAGACACACGTTTTTATCCTGAAACAACATCAAGTAGCTGATCAGTCAGCCAACACAAGATTAGATGGCAACAATTTCAATAATTATCTAAATGTACAAGTCAAATGATGACAATAATTCACTGGTTCCAGCTTCTCAAATGACAACATTTTGTTTTTCTTCATCATTATCTTAAAAAGAAGATGTTTTGGTTTTGGATCTTATCTGCTTCAGAGCCTCAACAACTGATCACCTGACTGAGGAAATAATCATTAGATAAATCAATAATAAACACAATCAGCCCCAGTAAACTGATTATCTTTGGGATTTGGATTGCTGGTCTGACAGTGGAAGACATCTGAAAACAACAAATAGAGCAATAGTGATGGATATTTTTTCTAACCTTTAATAGAGAAAAAAATCATCATGGAAACAACTGGCGGAGTCATTGATGGACATTAATGTTAGTTGCAACTCTAAAGTTCTTAAATTACTTTCTACAAATCAATTAGTTTCAGTGCAGCTTTTGTGCTATCGCTAAACGTGAAGAGTAAAAACCACGAAATGACATAATATCAGGACAGGTAGCTGGCTTTAAAGTTCCTCTTTAAATAAATAAAATATATAAACCCCCGTCCCTGTGGCGTACAGTATGTCTGCAGGTAGAAGTTCTCTCACATTTTTCCCATAACACCAGATGGTCCTCTGTGACAGTGATGGCCAAACCTCAAGGCAGACCTCCTTCACACATCTGATGATGAAGGTTTGCGTACCCGTTCCCAGTTAGCACAGACCACATCAAAGCTCTCGCCCTCCCCTTTCTATGGTATGCACCTCCCGGGCTCATTGTTAATGGACAGAGGGCGATACCATAACAACAACATTTCACATGAAAGGGGGGGAATCTACTGGAAAAACAGTCACTCACTTCTTTTCAATGATTAAACTCCTATTGTCCGGAGACTGCATAAGACGAGCAATCCTTCCACCCAACATGTACTGTCACACGAGACGAGCGAGCCATCTAAAGCAGTCCTAATCGCTGATTAAACAGTGGCTGAAGGAAGTCTGCGGGCCAATGCAGAGAAAGGGAAGCCGTGGCTTGCAATGCCAGCTGCACCTCCCGGCCTGGCTGGCTCTCCTGCTTCCCTGTCACCCTCGCTAATCTGTCTGGATCTCCCCCAAGCACAAACTCAAACACCAGCTCTGAAGAACAAACTAGCACCGCTCCAGCCTGATCAATCAGCAACACGAGATCCATAGGCGAACTATTGTTGATTGTTTTCCTACGTGGAGGCCTACTGAAAACACTGCTTTAGAGGACTAAAAGATAAATCACTGCGGTTTGGACCTCGGAGCAGCAGCGTCCTAAGTGTCCATTTCAGGTCAGCACAAAGGTGATAACTGTGTGCGTGCTTTGGAGTGAAACTGAATATCACACTCAGGGGCTCGTGTGCAGCCCCCCTTTTGTTGGGAGCACGGCTGCCGAGGTATCCTTTTCTTGATGGATGGAAAGCAAACGGTTGTTCGGAGAGGTGAAGGCCCACCCCCACTTACGTACTGGCAACGCTGAGGAGTGCTCGATAACAAGAAAAGCTACAGACACACACACCGGTAGGCAGAACTGAGAAAAATTGACAGACAGCCAGAAAAGCTTGGCCATGAAAGACACAGACACAACCGCCCTAATGTCTTGAAAACCTGCAAGAGCTGTACAGTCATGCCACCTCCACCTCTTTTCCCCTTCCTACACATTCACCTCTGGCAGGTGGCAGGGAAAAAAAAATCCCCGGCCTTTGATACTCTGTTAACACACTCAGGCAAAATGGCAGGGCGTTAGGGGGAGATTACAACACCTAATGGAGGCATTAAGGGGGCCTGTCGAGGGGCACGTTGACAAGTCACTGCAGCAGGTGTGGGGCTGAATGAAACATAACCCTGCGGTACGCCATTCCAACACGCAGCCCACCGCAGGGCACGGCTCAAAGGCAGCTAACAGAGTTCAGCTACGTGGGCCGTTTGCCCTGACCGCAGGACCACAGAACTCAATCCAGGCCAATCGGAGCAGGATTACCAACATCTGTCCAACCTGAAGAAAGCGAGATGTGAGGTGCGAGGGGGCGGGAGGCTTCGGTTGGTGTGAGGAAAGGAGGGTACTGACTGTCAGATCATCAAAACACGGGAAATCCCCTGGCTCAAGCTTCAAAGCTTCTCACTGGGTTTAGATGTGGCTCATGATAAGGTGCTGTGTGGAGCCTCGGTGTTTCAAATGTATACACCGCTTCACGCAGGTCAAACACGAACGTTTCTGCCAACTGTTGGGCAGGAGGTGCAGAGCTCTGGTAGATCACTGGAGGCAGCAGTGGTCTAGAGGTTAGATTAGAGGGTTTGAGATAAGAGAAAGACACGGGTTTGATTTCCCAGATTGGCTGTGGGAGGGTGAAAGTCGCTCCTTTCCTTTAACACCTCCTGTTGAGGCAACACATCACTGATGGAGTGCTTCACTGGAGCGCAGGTCCCACGGCTGCACCGGAAGCTCCTATCAAGTCAAGTAAATGCTATTCAGGTATATTGTGTGTTTAGTAGAGTGCAGAATTGCAGATTATTCATCTTTTGCCATGACAAGGGATGTAATGGTAACTTCACAGTGCAGCATGTTCCTCGGTTTTGGGGTTATGATTAAATAGCAGAAATGCATAAAATACCATTTATTTTAAACATTCGGAAATGGCTCATTGGCCATAATTCTTGCTGTAACAGCTAAGACACCTAAATCCTGGCTTACTGTCAAAAAGAAAAAAATAATAACATGAATGCCAATTGTGTGTCATGCTACAACTCTGACCAATCAAGTTGGAAACGATTACATTATCCAGCAACTATTTGGATGGTCGATTAATTGGTTAAAATTATCTTATGAGACAGACAGTCAAAACTCTCCAGTTCAAGCTTGTTAAATGTGAATACTTCTGGTTTCTTTCCTGCTCTATGACAGTAAACTGAATAACTTTAGGTCGTGGATGAAACAAGACGATTGAGGAAGTCATCTTGGTAATGATGACACATAAATGTAAACATGATCATTTATCATCATCAATAATCACATATGCTTTATTGCTCAGCCCTATTTGTGTAATGTGCACATTATAAAACATTAACAAAAATCACAGTGTTTTCCCAGTTTTAAAGGCTAACCCTGCTATAGCTGACATGCTATATGCTATAGTACCTTGCTGGGAGTTTCATACTGAACCAAATTACCTGTACTGAACTATTCAGGACAAACACACATGACTACATCCCAGCATTCAGGGTGGATTTGGTTGGGCAAACTACTGGACTGAGAGAGCGCCTTCACCGGTTTGCCAACTTCTCTTTTGCTGAGAACTGTTCACCTCCTTTTGCATCAATCACAATCAACAAAACCTGAACAACATCACTGATGAACACGCCAGCCACTGGTAGCATCTGTGCTGGAGTTAATAGCTAAAACCAAGTTGATATAAGGAAGTGCGATTCGATACAACTAACCACCAGTCATCCAGGCCTTAGTTTCTTTACTCTAGTCCTTGCCATTTTCTTTCTCACAATTCAGATTAATAGGAGATCATATTGGTTTCCAGACAGACCAAAAACTAATGGTGAATGATTGTCAGTCATTTGTGGAACATTATATAAGGTGTAATATGTTTAAGAGATTTTAGGCACGGCGTAGAGAAGTTGGAGTGAAAAATGTTGATTAGTGACAAGAAACCTGCCAGCAGGCTAAAATGACCAGCTATTAATCCTGAGACAAATCCCACTAAGACTTTTACCTGTCTGACTACCTGAACGTTAAATATAAGACAGCATAGATCAGAGCAGCAAAACCCAACCGCTATTCCCTTACAGAGAGATGCTTAATGACTTTAAAATGAGCCCTCAGCAGCTTTCAGGAGCCCAGGAGGCCGCGGGTGAATGTGAATGCCGCCTTTCAGAAAAGCCAATATTCTGTGGATAAAAACTGTGAGAAACAGATATTTATTTCCCCCAGCACCATCTGTTTGCTACCAAAAGACAGCAGCAAGAGGAAGAAAAGGCCACAACAAGGCTTTCTTTTCACCGTCCTGTGGAAATGCAACAAAACACAGTGGACAGAGTCACCATTGCCTGTTCCTCACTGAGCAGTGGGAGTAGCGATCTAAAACTCCATTTAGGCTCCTGTTTACCTAAGAGATGAGCCCCAAAACACAGTCATTCAACCGCTCACCCCTTTATCTGGTCATGAATATTCCCATAATCCTCTGGCCTCTATCCCAGAGGCCCCTTCTTTAAGATGCTTGGTGGTGTGTGGGTTGTCCCGGGTGGAGGGACTCTGGCAGCCTGAGAGAAAGAGAGGGGAGCCTTTTCCCCAAATCCTCTCTTTCAAGGCCTTCTCTCGGCTGATCTCCACATGAAATGATATCTCATTCACTCTCACTCTGTAGAGTCCCCTAAGCCTGCAATGGCTGAAGCGCTGGCAGAAGGACGACTGAGCCAGAAAGCCTTTAATTGACCTGTAATTAGACTGTGTGGCCCTGCTGGACAAGTAGCCAACACAGAGGAGACGGAGAACAGAGGAGAGAAAAAGATGAGAGGGAGAGGACAGGGAGGCCTGGAACTTACTGCGAAGTAGAAAAACTAATCCCCTTCCTATGGGAGATGGCCACTCTTCTTCACTGGATGTGAAAGGGAGGGAACCGTGAAGAAAGGGTGGCTGTTATGAAGAAGTGGCAACAGAAGGATTTCAGCGGATGAAGCTTGGTGCCAAGGTTGAAGCTACTTTAGCATGCTGCTCTGAAATTTTCTACTGACAAGAGAGCAGCAGTTCGCAGCATGGTCACTAGAGAGACCGGGGTGAGGGGTTTGGTTCCTGTTCCAACCTGTCATCATTCATGAAGAAACTTTTTTTATATCTCAGGACTGCCAAGGTCACAGTGTAGGTGGGAACATTGAAC